AGGCATGACAAAATCGTCGGCAACTCCCGCTCCTCGATCCTCGACCCCATGACCTCCTCAACACGAATGACGACGAAGGCACTCCTCACGCAGCTGGCCGCCATCCTCCCTGCGGCCGGTCGAGCTGTCCGAGGACTCGAAGAGAATGTGCCCCGCATCTCTGGGGTCCCCGTGCCTGCGCTGCGAACCCGTCGCGGCTCCACCTGGAGCGGGCGCCGTCGGAGCCGCCGTCGTTGCCGTCGCTGGCCAGACACCGCTGGAAAAGCCGTGTCCCTTTGCCCCCGCGAGGGGGGAATCCGTCGGGGAGCAACGATCTCGAGGGGCGTCTAAACGGATGTGTCTCCCAGGGCATGAAGACCGAAGCTCTCCAAGCTGTGGCTGGTCTGCGTCGTCATCGCCGCCGCCGTCACGGCCGTCGCCATCGCCACCGCCGTCGTCGAAGGAGGGTGAGGTTTTCGGATGTCGTCAAATGTTGTTGAAGCTGTTCAGACGTTACTCAAAAGGTTGTGAAAGGCTTCGGGGGAATCCAGGGGCTCTCGGAAGTCCTCGGAGACATTGAAAGGGTCTTCGGGGGGCGCCGGGTGCTTCGGACTGACATGAGCGGAAACGCCACAGGCGTTGTCATTGGCCGCATCGAGCGAAGATCAAGCCGATCCTCGAGCGAACATCAACTCGATCGCTGTCAATCTGCCTTCGCCAGTAGCACGGCACCGCGGAGTAGTTCGGAGAGAAAGTAATCAAACTACAGAACGTGCAGGCGCATCCTGCTCGATACTTGATGGGGTGTGGTGGTAACCGAGTTATATACTCAGGCGGATCGGAAACAGCTCCACCGAATGACGCCAGCATCATGATGTTAGGGCTCTTAAGAGGGATGGGGGGATGTCTTCGCCATAGCAACTTGGAAAAACGTGCGTCACGGCGGGCCTTGACGTTGTCGTGGGCAGATGACTGGACCGTTGCCGTGGCTTGGCATAGTAGACGGTTGCCGATGACCAATTGATATTCTTGCTGGGTGGATAAGTCCGCCTTGATTACCTGAAGGGGTAGCCACTCATGGCAAGGCTGCCGCAACCGAGACCTGAAGCTCATCGGGGAGCCGCTGCAGGCGCACTTCACTGGGGTGCAGAGTGGCGTGGCTTGCGAAGGTGCACTGGCGCGTGGTCACGCGCGGGCGTGAGACGGTGGTTGTCCCCGGTTGGACTGGCCGTATGTAACCACCCTCGGGCACTGCCTCCCATGGTGGATCACTCCTGATCATGGCGTAGTGGAAGTTGAACAAAACTTCAGCACGCGGAGGCGGCATAACATACAATAGAACAGGTTACACATGTCGAGAATGACGTACCATTGCTTCGTCATCGCGCACGTGTACAAAGGCCTGGTCGTGGTTGCCATTCACGCCGTCGCCAAGCGGGAAGGATGCAGTGATGGACTGCTGAATGTACACACGTGTGTTGTCGTATGTGTAAGCTGTATGCGACCGGCGTTGGCTTTGGCGTGGTCTCGAGGTTCGTCGCGGCCGCGGAATAACGTTGACGTTGATACCTCGCCTGAGCCCGACCACCAGGGGAACGGAGAGAAGAGCGCCTACAGGGTCACGGTGGCTTGTCAAGTGTGCGTGCAGTCTGGGAGCGGTCACAGCGTGTTTGTGCAACGAGGGTGCCAGCCCACCACCGTGCCGTGCCAGCGGCGCGTCAGGGTGTGTCAGAATGCGCTTCTGCTGCCTGGTGGGGTTTCTGTCGTACGTCTAGGGCCGACCCTCCCACCCCCTGCAACCGCGCGTATGCAAACAATCCCATCCATGAGTTTGTGATCTGGCACCATCTTGAGAATCGAGTGCGCTTAGAAGCAGCTAGAAGCCGTCCAAACGGCTACAAGACTCACCAAGACAATCTGAGACTGCCAATGGGGCCTCAGGGACCCAACCATAGGCCCCAAGAGGCATCCGAGAGATGCTCGAAGAGGCTTCCAGCGAGGCTCTCGGGAGCGAGAAACATTGAAGCACCTCAGGGATAGCAATGGATGCTGCTTTTGAGTTTTTTACCTAACAGCTCTTGCTGATAGGTTTCTAGTGGTCTCAAAAGAGAGCATCATGACTCCTCAGGGGGGTCTGGGCGGGACCCGGGGAGGCTGCCGGCGCGGCTGCCGCCGCACTCGTTTTTCTCAAACAGTCACACACTTCGTGCTCTTCGACCTCCCAGAACTCCATTCCCGGGCCACATTCTGAATGCCCGGAGCCAACTGTAGGCCACTTCGTGCTCTTCGACTTCCCAGAACTCCATTCCCGGGCCACATTCTGAATGCCCGGAGCCAACTGTAGGCCACTTCGTGCTCTTCGAGTTCCCAGAACTCCATTCCCGGGCCACATTTTGATGCCCGGAGCCAACTGTAGGCCACTTCGTGCTCTTCAAGTTCCCAGAACTCCATTCCCGGGGCACATTTTGAATGCCCGGAGCCAACTGTAGGCCACTTCGTGTTCTTCTAGTTCCCAGAACTCCATTCCTGGGCCACATTTTGAATGCTGAGGCAGGCTGATGCTGCGGCCGAGGCAGGCTGAGGCTGAGGCAGGCTGAGGCTGAGGCCGAGGCTGAAGGCAGACTGAGGCTGAGGCTGAAGCACTGAGGCTGAGGCTGAGGCAGGCTGAGGCTGAGGCTGAAGCAGGCTGATGCTGAGGCAGGCTGAGGCTGAGGCTGAGGCTGATGCAGGCTGAGGCTGAGGCAGGCTGAGGCTGAGGCCGAGGCTGAAGGCAGACTGAGGCTGAGGCTGAAGCAGGCTGAGGCTGAGGCTGAGGCAGGCTGAGGCTGAGGCAGGCTGAGGCTGAGGCTGAGGCAGGCTGAGGCTGAGGCTGTGACTGCGACTGCCGTTGCCGCTGCGACTGTCATCGCGAATGCGACTACGACTGCGAGAACAGCAGAATTCTACAACTGGATTTTCATCTGAATCTTAAGGGGAATGCTTTCAGATATGCTTCTACACATCGCTGTTAGGTTGCTTTGCCGGGATAATGTTATGCATATGACCACATCGGGAACGCCTCGGAGCTTCAAGGAATTTTCAAGATGACCCAAGACGGCCCCAAGACGGCCTCAATACAGTCCCAGACTGCCCGCCCTGACGTCTGCTGGATGGCTCAGCATAGCCTCTCTGGGAGAGCTTAGGCCCCAAGGTCTCCGTAAGATGTTCCCAAAGGCCCCAATGAGTCTCCAAAAAAGACGCCCAGAGAGGCCAACAGCGAGGCGGTATGAAACAAACATACGGTTGTTTATTGTTTTTCTTTTGTTATAAATATGTTTATTTTATAGTATTATATTATTAATAATAATAATAGTAATAATAATACTAATAATAACAACAACAACAACAACAACAACAACAACAACAACAACAACAACAACAACAACAACAGCAACAACAACAATAGCAATCATAATAATAATACAAAAAATCGGGGACGCCTCGGGAAGCCCAAAGAAGCCCCAACTTTGGTCCATGACGGCCCCAAGTGCGCCCGAACACACAGCCCCACGACCGCGCGAGAGCTCACGAAAACGGCCCAACCGAGTTTCAAGACGGGCCCAAAGACTCGCCCAGACGTCCCCAATCAAGGCTGTTCTGCGACTGTCTGGATGCTGTCTTGTTTTTTTTGTTATGTCGTTTTTTTGTTGGTTTGCATCTCTCTAGACCTGTCTCAGTTCACAGTGCTGTCTACTGGGAGGGGGGCAGCGTAAAAAACTGTGGAGGTCCGTCAGCCTCCTTGGCTGTTTGAGGTTGCCCCAGGGTTCCCATAGGAGCAACACCAGACGGCCAAAAGAGCCCAAGAGACCTCGAAGACGGCCCCAAGAGGCTCCGAAGAGGGCTTCGGGAGGCCAAGACGGCCGAAAACTGCTCCGACATTTGCATCTGAGAAGGTCTAGGAAGGCCCAAAGACGCCCCTGAGAGCAAACAAATGCTTGGAAAACAAGAACGAAGTCAATGCTGTTGCGTGTCCCGTTCCCAGGTCCAAGGATGCAAGCAAAAGGTCGCTTCAGGACAGCCCCCAGCGCCGCCGAGATTGCCCGAGACGGACTCGAGGTGGTCCCCAGGATGGCCCAACAAAGCCCTGAGATGGTCTGGACACGCCCTCCAGACCAGCCCCAGGGGGGCTTCAACATAAACACGACATTGCCCAAGATGGCCCAGAAGTGGCCCCAACGGGCCCCATTGAGAGGCCAGGTGACTTCCGAAAAATCGTCAAAATACATGTGTGTTGGATCCTCGCCTTTTCGCTTCCGATGGGCTCTTCAGGCCACAAGGTAGCTTTAGGTTGGGCGTGTCCCCCTACAAGCGGACTGTGGCCGAAAAATTGATAGAAAAAAAAGGCCAATAAATACCCCAAAAATGTTCAAGAATACTTAAAAAAATAATCCTCCGACTATTTTTGAATAGTCCCCCGACTATTGTGTACTATCTTGTAATATTCCCCCTGTAGAGGGACAGGCCCGACTGTAAGATGGCCCAAGAAAGCCCCAAGGTGTGCCAAGGAGCGCCCACCCGCGACAGCCACGCAGAGCGCCCCCCAGAGCGCCCCACGAGGCCATGGCTCGGCTTCCGGAGAGGGGGGGGGGGGATGGCCCCCAAGAGCGCCCCAAGGGAACCCCCAGGCTGGCCCCAAGAGAGCCCCAAGAGAGACCCCGGAATGGCCCCAAGGGAGCCCCGTAAAAGGCCTCCAGAAGGGCCCCAAGATGGCCCCAGGACGGCCCCGCGATGCCCAAAATATGCCTCCACGAGGCACCCAGAGCGTGCCTGCATATGCTGCCACGCATCCATGATCGGGCAGCTCGCCTGGTGATTGTCTTTGGATGGACTGGTTGGGGATACGCGAGGTGGCAATACGTAAGGCTTCCCTTCCCACCACCACCACCACCCAAACAAGGAGGCCGCGACGAAAAACTGCACGAGGACGGGGACGAGCGAGATGCAGATGAGGCGTTCGGGTTGCGGATGCCATGACAATGGACACCCTAACAATCCTATCAATGAACTAAAAATGTGTTGTTTTACTCTTAAAACGGGCTTTTACATGTTAAAGACATGTTGAAACTTGTTTGACATCTGGAAATGATTTGGCAGCATACTTCCTCTCCATTGTGATCGTCGTCCACAACGTTCGGGCAGCTCCAGGTGAGCCCCAGGAGGACTTCAAAGCGCCCCGGGGGGCGGACTCTCCGAAGGCTCTGGGCGGACGGGCACCTCTCGAGGAGCCCCGAACTCTTCCCGAGAGAGCGAGGAGGAAGGAGGTGAACGAGGGGACGAGAAGAACAAGGGGGGGCGGATGCGGAGGATGAGGAGAAGGAGGAGAGAAGAGGAGGAAAGAGGAGGAGAGAGGAGGAGGAGGAGGAGGAGGAGGAGAAGGAGGAGAAGGAGGAGGAGGAGGCGGAGGAGGAAGTGGTGGTGGTGGAAGAGGATGAGGAGGACGACGATGAGGAGAAGAAGGAAGAGAAGGAGGAGAAAGAGGGGGATGAGGAGGATGGGGGCGCTGGGTAGGAAGAGGAATAGGGCGGAGGGAAGAAAGTAGAAAGCGAGGAAGAAAGAAAAAGGGGATGAGAGGAGAACGAAGAGTAAGAGAAGGAGGTTGGAGCGTCTGGGAGGAGGAGGAGGAGGAGGAGAAAGAGAAGAAGGAGGAGTGATGAGGGCAGGGGAGGGAGAGAGGGGGAGGAGGACAAGCCAGGTGCGCTCGCGTCATATCTGACATCCTACCCCTCCCTCCCATCCTTTATCATGGCGCAGATCCCCTCTCTACTCGCACAGTCGGATGTCCAGCAGGGCAAAGATCCCGAAAGGGTACGCGATGCATTGTAGAGCACGGCATGGCATGGCGTAGAAGAGCACCGCGAACGGTGTATCAACCTAGCATTGCATTGCATGCCGTGGCATGGCACGGGAAATGGCGCCAGCGCTGCAGCGGGAGCACGAGTCGAAACGAGCGGAAGCGCGGAAATGAGGCCAACGCTGCAGCGGGAGCACGATTCGGAACGAGCGGAAGCACGCCAGAATCGGCCCAGGAGGCCTCCTTCTTGGGCGCCAGAAGCAGAAATTCAGCATTCTCACAAGAAAAATGCGTATTGGAATGACCTTTTTTCGGCGCCGCCTCGGAACTCGATTTTCCGGCGCCGGCCGGAACTGGCTCCGGACCCGGCCCGGGCGCCGGCCCGGGCGGGCGCCGGCCCGGGCGCCGGCTCGGGCGTCTGGCCCGGGCGCCGGCTCGGGCGCCAGCCCGGGCGTCGGAATCGGCCCGGGAGGCCCCCGGGCGCCGGAAGCAGAAATCGAGAATTCTCAAATGAAAGATGTGTATTGGAATGGCCTTTTTTCGGCGCCGCCTCGGAACTCGATTTTCCGGCGCCAGCTGGAACCGGCTCCGGACCCGGCCCGGGCGCCGGCCCGGGCGCCAGCTCGGGCGTCCGGCCTGGGCGCCGGCTCGGCGGGCGCCAGCCCGGGCGCCGGAAGCAGAAATTCAGCATTTTCAAAAGAAAGATGTGTATTAGAATGGCCTTTTTTCGGCGCCGCCTCGAAACTCCATTTTCCGGCGCCGGCCGAACCCGCTCCGGACCCGGCGGCCCGAGCGCCGGCCCGGGCGCCGGCTCAGGCGTGCAGCCCAGGCGCCGGCGGAAATGATGCCTGCGCTGCAGCGGGAGCACGATTCGGATCGAGCGGGGCCCGAAAATGAGGCCGGCGCCTCAGCGAGAGCAGCATTTTGGAAAAAAATGCACGCGAAAACCCAACTCCGGGGAAACCTGTGTAAAAAAATAATACGCGGGGGGGGGGGGGGGCGAACACTCCCAAGACGTCATCAGGGGAAGAGGGAGAGTAGTATTCATATTGAGTAATTGTTAAGGAGGAGACAACGAGTAAGAGAGAGAGAGAAGTAAAAACAACAAGAGGAGGAGACGAGGAGAGTTTGTCCTCCTCCTATCCCCCACTGTCTCACCCTCCCCGCCTTCTCCCCCTTCTCCCGTCCTCCCCCCTCCTGCACCACCTCTCGTCATGCCTGCTCGCGCGTCCTCCTGCAGTGCGAAGCACATAGGTGGCGAGGAGGTGGAGGAAATTAAGATGAGGAGGAGATGGCGAGAAGGCACACGAGTCAACCGACCGTTGGCCTACGGTGTGTGGCAGTTTACTGCGGCAGCGATCTGGCCCTGCAAGTACTGTGGCTGCAACGGGTGGCGGTGGCACTGCGGATTCGGGGAGGGCGAAGAAGGGGACGAGGAGGGGGAGGTAGAGGAGGAGGAGAAGGGGGACGGGCAGGGGAAGAAGGGCTCGGAGGTGAAAGAGGAAGAAGGGGGAAAGTGTATTTCGCGGCGTAGGTTCTTCGACCCGAGCACCTTGGCTTGAACCGCCGTCCACGAAGCCGGTGGCGGAGCTGCTCGACTCGCGTAGGCTGCCGGAGGTTACATCGCTGGACGCGCAGTCGTAGGACAAGCGCTCCGGCAAAGACCAGTCGATGTCGCGCTGCGAGGGCATCACAACACGACCCCCAAGGGGCCAACTGTGGTTAGACACTTTATGTAGGCCCTGCTGCTGACATGCACGACGTGACGAAACGCAGCTGGACCGTTCTTCCTTGCTCGCGTCTCACTCTACATGTATAACCAAAGCCCTCGATGCCCACCCCCTTCGTCTTCGATCATGCTCCCCCAGGGGGGTGAAACTTCTTGTCTGCCACGTGTGATGGGCACACCCCTGCTGCTGCAAGATGAGGAAGGCAGGAAAAAAGAGAGATAGAGAGAGAGAGAGAGCGAAGAGGGGAGGAGAAAACGAGAAAGGCGGGGGGCAAGAGAGAGAGAGAGAAGGACCGAGGGCGACGGATTTAGATCGAGACTGAGATCGGGGGAGGGCTGCGGACCGAGATCGAGATCCAGAGAGGCTATAGAGGACCGAAGCCTCCGAGGGAGGGCGGGGGCGCGAGAGAGGGAGGGAGGGAGAGACGCAGGAAGCTCCGCAGGCGGACCCGGCAGCCAGACGGCAGGGAGACGGGCCAGTCGGCGGGCGGGCCCCACGGGCGGCTGGGGGCGGGCGGACCGCCTGCAACACGGGCGGCCCGGGCGGGCGGGGCAGGGAAGCGGGCGGGGTTGCAGGCAGACATTATTAGGTCGGGCGTGGCCTCCTACAGGGGGGACTCTGGACGAACCCCCCAAAAAATTGTCAAGCAATATTCCCGAATGGTCAAAAATATGAAAAATATTTTCTCTATATATATCTATATATACATATATATATATATATATTTTTTTTTTTAAAAAAAAAAAAAAAAAAAAAAAAAAAAAAAAAAAAAAAAAAAAAAAAAAAAATGTTTTGAGTAGTGTTCCTCCTGTAGAGGGACGTGCCCGACTTGAGGCAAACAAGCGGTCGGACCAGAACGGGCGAGTGAGACGGGCGGGCCCTAATGGGCGGGTGGGGCGGGCGGGCCCTGAAACGCGGGTCGGACCCCAACGAGCGGACTGGGCAGAGCATCGAAGCGAGCTGGCGGCTTCCAGGCAAGCGAGGGGGCGGATCCTGACGGGCGGGTCGGGCGGGCGGACCCAGACGAGCGGGTCGGGCGGCTTGGTCTGAACAGATTGGTCGGGAGGACAAAGCATTGAAGCATTGACAGTCGGTGGCGAGAGCACGACATCCCTCCGCAAATTGGCAGGAAGTGTCGTGCGAGAACGCAGCTCCTGGGCGCCGAGAGCGCAGTGCCTGGGCGAATTGCGAAGAACTCCCACGCGAGAGTGCACTTCCTGTGAAAATTGCTAGGAAGTCTTTGACGAGAGCGTGATCCATGAATACATTGTGAGGGCGTCTCAGGCGGGAGCCGCTAGTCGCGTGGCCAGGGGCGCAGCTTGAGCATCACATACTTCCTGGGAACACGAGCGAGGTGCGAGCTGCGGGAGGGGGCCATTCCAGTCGAATAGCAAAACGGGCACCGGTGCGGGAGTATCGACAATAGATAGCCTTTCAAAGCGAAAGTCGAACAGCCACTCTGCCAACACGACCGATGTCTACACACGCAACATGCATCCATCATGGCAGCCCCCCTTCCATCAGAAATTAGTTCGTGTACCTGGCCCTGGCATTCCATCACCCAGATCGCCCGCACAAAGAGGTCTAGCGAATTTCTCTCTCGAGGCACTTCAGGGCGAGAATACAGCACGAGGCACCAAGATGATGAGAGCTGATTTGGGAAGACCACAGTGAACGGATTCGCGCCATTCGCTGCGTCCGTTGGGGGGATCGCGAGGAGAAAACAATATCCAGTCCACCTTACAAATAGAAAAGGGGGACGAAGAGCACGAGCAGAAGTGGAAGATGTGGGAATCGTCGGGAACTTTCAAAACTGCCCTGGGGGTTGCCAGGACAGTCTGGGGCTGCGCTTAGGCATTTTAAAATTTTTTTGCGACCTTAGGAGCTGGTCCTTCCTGTGCTGTGCGTACTCGGATTATCCTAGGGCTCCTCAAGACGTCTTGGCGCCCTCTTCCGGCTCTCCCAGACAATTCTAACGCGTCTTGGGGCGCTCTTGAAAAGGTTCTGGCAACTCTTAAAGGCCCTTTAAAAATCTGTTGCAGGGATCTTTGCGGGCCCTCCTGGGGTCACTCAGGAAGCCCTGCAGAGGCCACGCCGAGACGAGGGCCTAGCTTCCGGATAAAACGCTGGGACGTATAGAACGGGATCGCTGCTGTTGCAAAGGCGGCTTGCAACGCCGACGCCACAGCGCCCCTTCTGAGCAAGAAACGCGGAAGTATCGAGCGGGAGCGCTGGTTCCAAAGTGGAAGTCTCGAGCGGCAGCGGTGTTGTTGTAGAGGGGAACGGTCTGCAACGCCCAGGCGAGGGGCGCCAATCCTGAGTGGCCAGTGTTGAATAAAAAGCGCGGAACTAAAGAGCGGGAGCGCTGGTTGCGAGCTAGGACACAAGTTCCTCATTAACGAACCAAATCGAACAGGAGCGTTGTTCTTGTAGGCAGGCCCATATGCGGCGCCGAGGCGAAATCGCCAATCCTTTGTGAAAGGCGAAAGAGGCACCGAGAGGGAGCGCTGGCTTTGTAGGAGCGTCGCTGCAGGCGGGCCAGCTTGGGGCGGTGAACCGAGAGCGCCGCTCCTGAGCAAAAAAAAAAGCACCGGCCAGCAGCGCTGGTTTGGTCGGAAGGCAGGCTCTCGGCGGCGAGCACGAGCACCAGTCTCGAGTGAAGATCGCGCGAGCCTCGCTTTCAAATGAAATCCGCCAGCGCGGAGGCGACAGCGCCAGAGCGGATCGAGGGGGTCCAACAACAGTACAACTGTGTAGCCATCAGTACGAAATTATTAAACCGAGACGTTCGGTATATACCCATGCAAGATGCATACATGATGGATGAAAGTTCTCCCGTTCATGTGTGAGTGTGAATTATTTCATGCATCCGGGGGTCCAGGAAGTCCTCACCCAGATCTCCCGCCCAAGGAGGTCGAGCCTAAACCTCTGTCGAGACACGTCATGGCGTTCATATAGCACGAGACATCAACATACTCAGGGCACATCCGCCGACCCTGCTGGCGTGTGGAAGACGCTGTTCTGTTTGACTCGTCTTGGTCGTACTCGTCGTCCTCGTCGTCGTCCCTGTCGTCGTCGTCGCCATCGCCGTCGCGTTTGATATCCTTTCCCCTGACCCGTCGCCGCTCCTCACCATTTCACTGAAACCTCCTCATCCAGCGAGTCAGCCAACGCGAAACCAAAACGAAACTGAGCAACGTCGTAGTTGAGTGGAAGGGGAGCTCCTTCCCGTTGATCCCTTCCCCCCTGGGGAGCTGGGGCAGGGGTGGGTCAAGACACCATTCCCGCCCGCAAGCTGTCTCGCTCACTCCCACCAGCCCTCCCAACACGTAAGTAGCACCCGGCCCTCAGCATGTTCAGCGGTCGGCCGAGGTGCGCCACGCGTGCCAGGCGCTCCGGGTTCGCCAGGTAACCCTGGGGCCCAAGCGTGCCAGGTACGCCTCGCGCGCCACATGCGCCACGTGTTCCACGTGCGCCATATGTACCGCATGGTCCAACCGCGCCAGGTGCGCCATGTTTGGGGCGCGGGCAGAGTGCGCCAGGTGCGCCAACGCACATGACAGCACACATCGGGAAACATATCGGCCCCCGCCACCCTTGTTGGAAGCCAATGCACACTCGCGGCGGGGAGGCCTTCATGGTGTCTGGCGGGCCTGCACACAGCAGGCAATATGCCAGCACCCCCGCGGTCCTTGTCAAATACCAAAGGACAATTATCGCGGGGTGGCCGAGCATGATCCAGATTCAGCCGCGAAGTGCCTGTCGTATTGTTTTGTTTGACAGAGATGGCGGCCTTGCGCAAGGCAGGCAATATGAGGGCACCCCCGCCGTCCCTATCAAAAACAATTCCAAGTGCCCACGGAGCCCACGAGCAGGACTCAAGATGTTGTCCAAAAGTGTGTTTCGGATGGTGTTTTACATGGATGGGGGGGTCGCATTGGTGCTGCTTGGCTGCCGGCCGTCTGGGGAAGGGGTTTTTACTAATAGGGGACATTAATAAGAGAGGGGGCGGGGCCCAGAAACGGACCCAGTGTGCCCCAAGAGGCCCCAAAAACGGCCCAAGAGGGCCGCCTGCTCCTCCTCCTCCTCCTCCTCCTCCTCCTCCTCCTCCTCCTCCTCCTCCTCCTCCTCCTCCTCCTCCTCCTCCTCCTCCTTAGCCATTTTGGCTCAAGTCCGTAGCGTTTCGCTCAGGACAAGGGCAATCTGGCGTGGGGGAGGCGCGCCCCCGCCTGCGATCCTGTGGCCAGTCTCTTCTGGCTTCAGCACTTTGTGTGTGAGCTCCTGTTGGAGCAGCTCCCTTGTGGAGCACGTACATTTCCAAGACGTCCAGGATTTGCCTCCTGGTTCTCGCCCCATGGCTCCTGCTCCTTCTGCTGCCAAGCCTCCGTGGTGGAAGACCGTGCCCTCATCGTGGATGGGCAGTGGAAAAAAGTGGCGCGACATGGGCCAAGGAGATTTTGATGGATGGCGTGAAGTGGGCAAAGCTCCAGCATGCGCGAGATGTGGTTGTAAGAAGAACACACGTGGCAGCATCTTCTGTAAGGCTTGTGGGCGCAAAGTTGCTGATGTGGTTCCTGCCGCCGCAGCAGAGCCTGGAGGTGTCTGGGCCAATGGCGCTGGTCAGCAGGCAACAGCGGACGACGGCAAGGGCGCAAGAAAGGGAACAACAAGGCAAGGGCAGAGGCCAGGGTGAAGAGTCGGCGAGCGGTGTGTCACTTCCACTGGCGCCTGGAGCCCAGTTTGCATTGGCCAAACATGTCCCTGCAAGTGGCCTGGAGATCGCGGAGTTGGAGCAGCTGGTGGCCATGCTGGAAAAGGCAGGCGACAAAACCAGCGCAGGGAAGCACAAACGGGTTCGTCAAGAGAAGCAGCGCAAAGCTGCGGAGGTTTCGTACGTGGCGCCCTTGCCCCAGCGGGTCACGATGGCCCACAAGCAGGTGCAAGAATTCAACCAGAAGCTC